TATAAAAGCGTTATTCTGACCCCTAATGTTAACGAGTTTACCCTTCTTTATGAGACGATCTTTGGTATGTAATGGCATTCGCCTTCTTACGCTTCTAAGGTGTACGGCCTTCTGAAGACCCAAAAGAGACGTCAAAATTAGCAGCTGCCCTGGGAAATCTTACCATTATCCGGAAAGGACCAAAAGACATCATAACTGATGGGGAAAATAGTACGCATTTCTATATCGTTAAAAGGGGCAGGGCTATCACTTCCACCGTCCTGAGTTATGTCAGTACACTACTAAAACTTGTGTTCTGCCGTTGGTCACCCATCTTTTGTTTTAAAGTGCTCCTCTGCGATACACAAGGCTCTCCGAGGCGATGTGGGGGACAAGGAGATCTTCTGTCTGGCGCCGCTGCAGTCTTTTCTCATTGGTTCGCTGAAAAACCTCCGATTTGCTCGTAAGGGTGCATTACATCGTTGACCCTCTCTAGATCGCTTTTCAAACGCAGTTTCCGTTTTTAGTAAATTGTGGCGTTCTAATAGCTGCACACATACGTTTTGTTTCATTTTTTAAGAACTTCATCTCCGATGCTTGCTGGTCTTGCTGCCTGCATGTTGACTCGACGATGCGCTGAACGTGCATTCTCCAAGTACGGTCGCGGCACAGTGACAACAAGGATGATAGATGAAGTTGCGCCAGCGTTCGATGAACTGTTTGTGAATAAGCATCAAAACTAATATGATTTATAAGTCCCTACTTTACCCCTTCTCGTTCATGCTTATGATCAACTAACCGAATTCTCTTTCATCTCCTATGGGCCTGTTTATTCTCCGTTCGTTTTGCACTATCAAATTCCAATATTGTGAGTTTACCTTTTGTTCCCCAGAGTTAAAGTATTGTCATTCTTGAAGCGGCAGGCAAAAAGATTGCCACAGACTATTCATTTTTCTAAGCTCTTCGCGCTAATGTTTTCCCAGATCGCGCATTGGTAAGTGATGTTATCGCAATGCGGTTAGATCAAGACTTAATCGGTTTGTTGCGAACCTTTATAATTGTTGATTCCAACCTTCCTCGACATGTTACCTTCGAGCCGAACCGGACTAAGAATAAGAGACCACGGCAATAACACACTTGGGAGTAGTTCAGCTTTAGTGGTGAGGGAGGCGTGCTTCTCGTCTCATGAGTGTTATGGCATTCTTTCGGACCATAGTATGTGGAGAATTGGGGCACCGAGCTTGATCCTCTTGAGAACGAGAGAATAACTGTAGTGCCAAATGGTGCCCACGTATAATCACTTACTCAGCTTTTAAAGTGCGGTAATGTTCGTGATGGTACGCCTCAGAGAGCGAAATAGGTGGTGTGTTTTATTCATAATTGTGGAGAAGGTTCGGTTTGCTAAGT